ATCCCTAGGGGAGAAGGGAAGGGCTTTAGAGATGGTGATGGTCCCCCTGGGGCAGTTGTCCCCATTGACTTGGGATTCCCTGCCTTCATCCTAAAGAGGCTCTGCTGGAAAGGGAGTGTTGCCTGGCATCCCTCATCATGGAAGGGGCACATCCACTGGTTGAGAATCCTTGTGATGACGGATCATGTTAAATCACGAAGGACACCCTTTGCCTGGAGGCTGAGACCCAAGCAAATTGTGTACCTTTAGGTACCCTCACCCCAGCCAAGATGCACTTATCACCGAGTAGCTTCTGTATTTAATGTTTTTAAGCTTTTTTTTTTTTTTAACAGTTTGCAGAAGTCATTTATCTTAACTATAGTTCTAAGGTTAGTGGTCAGGAGCAGGGCCTACCAACACCTGGATTCAAATCCTAGCTCTGCTGTGCTGGCTTCATGACCAAGTTATTTAACCATTCTGAGCTGAATTCTCTCACATGTGAAATAAGAATAATAGCCCCACTGTTATAACCCCTACAGGGTTGTTGTTGTTAGGACTCAATGAGAGAGTCCATGTGAAGCATGTCCTATGGTACATGGCACACAGAAAATAATGTTGGCTGAAATTGTCATTGGTTAAGTATAATCGAGAATCATGAGTGATTCTCGAAACAATCCAGTGAAGTCACTACTGCATGGTATTATCCCCATTTTTAAATTAAGAAAAATGAGGCTCAGAGCATGCTGTCCCCAGTCATCATCCCCCACACCTGTACCAAACATGCATGCACACACACAGGCTACCCGCTTTCACTGGTGGTCTTTGTAAGGTAGAAAATGCTCAAGACCAATTGCCATAATAAATGTGATTCTAGAAAGAGACTCATGCTGGAAAAGCCAAGGCAGGTATTTTCCAATAAGTCAGGAAGGGCAGAAAGAGCCACGGTCAGAGACAGGCCAGGTTAACGTAGTGAACATAAAGCTAAAGGGGTTTGAATTTATGCTCAAGGGAGGCAGTGACTAGAGATGAGAACATGGTTGTGCCAATTTAGAAGGACATTCCAGCTCCATGGTTTGGGCTAACGTGTGAAGGGACACCGTAGTGCTTACTGTGATGCTGTGACCAGGATGGGTCACAGGAGGCATCTAGCTTCCCCACAGCCAGGGCTGAGGGTGGGGTGGTTCCAGGAGTGACTCCCCACGACTACATACTGTTCATCCCAGCTCAGAGGCTGGCAGTTCTCTTCCTGCTACCTGAACAAGGAGCCAGCCAGCCTTCTTCAGCATTGAATGATGTTCCAGTTATCTGTTGCTGCTTAACAAGCCATTCCAAAACTTAGTGACACAGAAGAACATCCATTTCATTATGATTCTGTGAGTGAGGGATTTGGGCAGAATATGGCAGCTCTGCTCTTTTCTGCTCAGCAATACCTGGGGCATCTGCTGAGGTGGCTCAGATGGCTGCTGATGTTGGGACAGCTCTCCTAGGGCCATCTCTCTGGGGTCTTGCGTCCTCCCTGTGTGGTGTCTCCTAGAGACTGAATGTCCAGGATGACTCGCTGTGTACCTGCGATGACTGCAACTGCTATTTCTTTCCAGGCAGTCTCTGCCGTCTGGCTAGCTTGGACATTTGCGTAGCATGGTGACCTCGGGGTGGTCAAATGTTTACACGTGGCTGGCTTCCCTCAGAGTGTTTCAAGAGGCCTGTATGGAAGCTACAAGGCTCCTCACAACCAAATCTCAGAGGTCACAGCATGTCACTTATGCAATACTCTGCTAATTGGGAAAGTCAGGAAAGCCAATCCAGATTCAAGGAGGTGGAGAAACAGACTCATCCTCTTCATAGAAGGTCATGACGTGGACACAGGGCAGCGGAATGGATGGCAGCCATCTTGGAGACAAGCTACCACATGTGGGTAGGGGTAAGAACATGGGCTTTGAGTCACAAATACTGGTTCACATCACAGCTCTGTAACTTTCTAGCTCTGTGATGTCAGGTAAGTTACTTAGCCTCTCTGAGCCACAATTTCCTCATCTATAAAATAAGGATAAAGATATTTTGCAGATAACTGTGGTAATACTTAAATGAGATAAATCTAGTGCTTGGCATACTCAATTCCTAACACCTGTAAAGTCCTTACTTAATGGTAGCTATGCCACCTACAGTAATAACTCTATATAGTATAACTGTAGTAGTACTATTTCTCTAGTTTGTCCTTTGCCTATTCATTCATTCATTTAGCATGCATTTACTGAGTGCCTACAGTGTGTCAGGCATAGTCTCAGCACTGACCTCCCCACAGTTGCCAAGATGATAATACATTGAAAGCAGAGAGTAATTGGGCCTTCAGGTTTTTGAGCAGCATCTCTAGCTCTTCAATGCCAGCCAGCATCACTGGGGTCAGCAAGCCTGGCTCAAAGGAGGAAGCAAGGCTTGTCACCTAAGCCTCTCTGATACTGCAGTATTAATTTTTGGTCTCATCCTAGTAGAGACTCCTACCCTCACAGTAATTGTCCTCCCATTTAAATAGTGGGACTGTTACTAAGGAGAGGCAAGAGAAACGAATCTTCCTCCCCATCTAGACATGTGTCAGCAGGTCCCACCTGATGAGTGTTCCGCTCACCTGGTATGTCAGTAACACAGCACTCAGCATTTAGAAGCCCCATCAGCACCAGCTGCTCCTCATGCCCATGGGCCCTCCCTGGCTTCCAGAATCAATACCTCAAATATTGAGGCAACATAGCCCTCCCTGGCTTCCAGAATCAATACCTCAAACATTGAGGCGACATAAGAGGTAGGAAAGGTAACCGTGTCCAACTCTACATACTCATAAGAAAAAAAACTCTGTAAAGCATTCTAAAATAAAGCAAGAAGCAAGACATCAAGAACACAAGCCAAACCAGGAGAGGGCATTTGGCACAGTCTGGTCTCAGTGTCTTATTTGAGCAGTTTCCTAACACCAAGAACTAATTAAAAGTGAAAAAGCAGGGCTTCTAACCCGGTACCCTTCAAAACCTTTAGGCTTCCCATAATAGTCATGTGAAAAATCTCACTTGCTCAAATGAGCATCTTCGACTTTCATTTGAAGACACTGGAGCTTTAAGTAAATCTCACTTTCAGGAATTTGTTTTTAGGTTAATGATAAAGAATTCACGCTCATTAAGCTCCACTGTTCTAGTATCTAAAAGCTGAACATTACAGAATCGCTGAATCTGCCATCTTTCCCTTAGTCCATTTGCCTACCCAGAGCATGAATATCTGCTACCTAGCCCTGACGGATGGACATCAACCATCTCCAAAGTCATGCTGAACAAGACCAAGAGCCCGTGACTTCATATGGAGACTACAGAAGTCAAAAGCCCCAGTCTGCCTTTCAGAGAGGTCCCCTATGAGCACTAGGAGGCAAAGCTGACGATGACGTGATGCCAAGTGTAGGCAGTTCAAAGGGTTCAGCCCTCTTTGTGCAGTGATGGCTGGAGCTATCTGCCAGCCCTCCTCCACTATCATTTGTGCACTGCTAATTTACTAGTCTGACTCATCCTTGGAGGCAAACACGGGATCAGTGCTCATTGCGGGAAGTGCTCAGTTGGCTGTGCAAGGTTCAGTGTCTTCAACAAGCACACATCTGTCTTGTGGGGCCATCATTTCTTAACATGTCACTCAAAGAAGACATCTCCTCTGTCAAAACAGATTTCAAGCTCAGGGGCATTTTCCCTCCTTGGGTCTAAGACCACAGTAGTCTGGCATTGATCTGAAGTCTGGTCAGTCCAGAAACCCATGGACCTCTTCCACTTGGGCCTCCAAAGGCCATCCTGTATCTCCTTCACTGTCTTCATCAAGTGGGAACAATGCCAAACAGTTCTCCCCAGAATCATGGGAATTGAGCTATTCTGTGTGCTTGATTGGGGAGGAAGGGCCGGAGTGAGGGGGCATAGTTGCAAAAGCACCATAAGCAGAATGCCATTTCTGTTCTGAAAAACCATGAATAGACATTCTAGGGACACTGATCAGATTGAAAACTTGAGACAGACCATGCCTGCTCTCTGCTGGTGCAGTGATTTTAAGAAAGCTCTCTGTTGTGACTGATAGATAAGGCATCTACCTCTTTGGTGTGCTGTGACCTCAGGGGCATTGTCAAGACCCTGCCTCTCTGGGGTCAGACAACATCACGTTTTCTCAGTGAGAGAAGACCAGGTGGAGCTGTGCTGGGAAGAGAAGGCAGAAATCAAGGATGCATATCTGGAGAAGAGAAAAGAAAGCTAGAAGTCATCTTGAAGGGAGTGATTGAAGATCCAAAGAAAAGAACCTTTCTCCCAGTCACTGCTTGGCATGGCATTTGGGCCTGACAGAATCTCCTGTCTCTTGCTGATTTGATGATAAAATATGGAAGTGGACCCACAGGGAGAGCAAGCGCCTCAAGAAATAGATGGATAATTGGCTCTGTTTGCATGCTGGCTGCTGGAACTGTGAGACACCACACCAGCATGACTAATGCCTCTCCCCTCCGCCTAAATTAGATTTTGATTGTGCTTTAGAGATGTTCACTGAATCACAGATGTTTGAGGTAAAAAGACCCAAACTTCTCAGGAACACCTCCTGTGGAGTGTGTGGGCTCGTCCTCACAAGCACAGCTGAGGTGCTCCCAGAACTCAGATGAAGGACCATAGTAACCCCTTATCTTCCAAGGCCTGGGAGCAGACCAGCTGCCCACGAGGGAGGCTCTGAATGGAATAGGCTCCTGGGGCCAGGGGGTGTGGGCCTGCTCCCCATAGGGTGAAATTGGGGGTCGGCTCCTTAGCATGGTCGTAAGCCAGTGCATCACATTGCTGACTAATGCTTCATGTAGACTCTAAATTGGGCCTGGGGTTTCCTGTTCTTCGCAGATTTCCACTGACTCACTACCACACCAGGTGGACTAGTTCAAGGTCCTTGCTAGTTCACCTCCCACAGTGTTCCTCAGCTACTCAACTTGGCCAACCTGCAGTATGCCATAGTAAATGCTTTTCTCTTTTCTCTTGCAGAATTTAGCCTATGAAATCATCCTAACACTGGGTCAGGCATTTGAAGTTGCTTACCAACTCGCACTACAAGCAAGAAAAGGGGGGCATTCCTCTACACTTCCAGAAAGCTTTGAAAACAAACCCTCCAAACCCATCCCCAAGCCTCGTGTCAGCATTCGCAAGTCGGTGGTAAGTAGAAACAATACAGATGTTCTGAAAATCTTGAGCTGGAGGGAGAGGAAGCTGTTAAGCAGGTCCCAAGTGATGTGGGGGCCTGCCTTTCTCTGTCTCCTTTGGCCTCCTCCTCCTGGCATGCATCCTTCATCCTCCCAGCCTCATTCCTGCAAAGTCTCGGGGGACCATCTGTCTGAACCTACAGGATCCCAAGAAAATTCCACTTTCTCTGTCACCTGTGGCAGCTCTATGAGAGGGGGACTGGGTGCCGCCGCTTCCTTGATGAATCTTTCCCGAAGGTTCAGGCAAGCCTGGAAACGATGTTCCCTGAGGCTTCACTGCCATCCCACCAGGGGCCAAAACCTCTTGCAAGCCACAGGCCATTGGAGATGTTGGCAGAGGTCCACAGCAAGGCATCCCAGGTACTCTGCTAGGGGAAGCTAGCTAGGTGCACAGGCTCTGAGCACGTCTTGGGTCTGAGCAGAGCGGCCCTCTCCCCCTTGGCTGGAGGCTTAGATGCCAGCTTTCGGCAGGCTTTCTCCCAGCAGCTGAGGCTTCCTGCAGAGCGGGGACTCTTCAGATGCTGCAGCCCCTCCTTCCTCCTCGTCATCTGCCTTCCTCCAGGAATTTCCTCCCCTTCCCTCCCACGAGCTCTGTAGACGTCCTGTCCTAACAGACTTTCATGACTTCAAAGCGGCCTCCTCTGGTAGTAGCAATATCCAAAAGCTGGAGCGTTCCCAACCAGCCTCCCATCTGGCTTCTGCTCCGGCTGCCGTATGGCATCCTAGGAACTCTGGGGCTCAGGACAGACAGGCACCCCCAGATGCCTTGCTCTCACACCCACATATCTTTCTATCTCTAGCGCTCTCCTCTCCACCATCCCCGGCTTGTGGGGTCATGGGGGAAGTGTAGGTTCTTTACTGTTTGTCAGGAAGCACCTCCGTTTGTGAGCATGTGGCTTCTTGTCTACAGTCTTCTTTTGGGCCTCTACTCCTGCCACCATTCTTGACAACTTCCCTCCCTGGGGACAGTCCCTCCAGCATCTGGCCTCCTCTCCTTGACTACTCACTTCCACCCCACTTTAGCCATTTGCTCCCACGCTTATCCCTCATCTGTGAGTATCACCAGTAACTGCATGTCCTCTGAAAATCTTCCTTCAGACACCATGGTCCCTTCACCTCTGCACCTACCCAGCCCCCCTGGTTCCCAATCCTGATGCACTCCCACAAATCCAGACTTGTATGTTCAATTGCTTCTTTAATATCTAACAGACATCTGAGATGTAGAACAGACCTCTTTTCATTTTAATTCCAGTATAATTGATATACAGTGTTATATCAGTTTCAGGTATATAATAGAGTGATTCAGCAGTTCTGTACACTACTCAGTGCTCATCTAGACAAGTAATCTTAATCCCCTTCACCTATTTCCCCCATTCCCCCTTCCACTGCCCCTCTGCTCTCAGCTCTCTATAGTTAAGAGTCTGGTTTTTTTCTTTGTTCATTTCTTAAATTTCACATATGAGTGAAATGTATGGTATTTGTCTTTCTCTGACTTATTTCACTTAGCTTTATACCCTGTAAATCTATCTGGCAAATGGCAAGATTTCATTTTTTATGGCTGAGTAATATTCCAGTGTGTGTGTGTGTATGTGTGTGTACACACACACATTTTTTATTATATTAGTCACCATTCATTACATCATTACTTTTTGATGTAGTGTTCCATGATTCATTATAACACCCAGTGCTCCGTGCAGAACGTGCCCTCTTTAATACCCATCACCAGGCTAACCCATCCCCCCACCCCCCTCCCCTCTAGAACCCTGTTTTTTTCTCAGAGTCCATAGTCTCTCATGGTTCTTCTCCCCCTCCGATTTCACCCCCTTCGTTTTTCCCTTCCTACTACACACCACTTTTTCTTTATCCATTCATCTATCAGTGGACACTTGGGATTGCTTCCATAATTTAGCTATTACAAATAATGTTGCAATAAACATAGGGGTACATATATCTTTCCAAGTTAAAGTTTTCAGATTCTTTGGGTAAATACCCAGTAGCGTGATTTCCGGGTCATATTGTTAGTTCTATTTTAAATTTTTTGAGGAACTTCCATACTGTTTTTCACAGCGGCTATACCAGTTTGTAATGCCACCTACAGTGCATGAGTGTTCCTTCTTCTCCACATCCTCACCAACACTTGTTTCTTATGGTTTTGATTTTAGCCATTCTGACAGGTGTAAGGTGGTACCTCACTGTGGTTTCGATTGGCATTTCCCTGATGATGAGGATGTTGAGCATCTTTTCATGTGTCTGTTGGCCATTTTGTGTGTCTTTTCTGGAGAAATGTCTTTCATTCTTCTACCCATTTTTAACTGGATTATTGGGGTTTTTTGGTGTTGAGTTGTAAAAGTTCTTTATATATTTTGGATACTAACCCTTTATCAGATATGTCATTTGCAAATATCTTTTCCCATTCAGTAGGTTGTCTTTTAATTTTGTTGATTGTTTCCCTTGCTGTGCAGAAGCTTTTTACGTTGATGTAGTCCCAGTAGTTAATTTTTTTGTTTTTGTTTCCATCGCCTCAGGAGATGTATCTAGAAAAATGTTGCTATGGCTGATGTCAGAGACATTACTGCCTGTGCTCTCTTCTAGGATTTTTATGGTTTCAGGTATCACATTTAGGTCCTTAATCCATTTTGAGTTTATTTTTGTGTATGGTATAAGAAAGTGGGCCACTTTCATTCTTTTGCATGTAGCTGTCCAGTTTTCCCAGCAACATTTGTTGAAGAGACTCTTTCCCACTGCATATTCTTGCCTCCTTTACTGAAGATTAATAGATCATATCATGGGTTGATTTCTGGTCTCTCTTTTGTTCCATTGATCTGTGTGTCTGTTTTTGTGCCAGTACCATACTGATTTGATTACTACAGCTTTGCAGTGTAACTTGAAATGTGGGATTGTGATACCTCCAGTTTTGTTCTTCTTTTTCAAGATTGCTTTGGCTATTCGGGGTCTTTTGTGGTTCTATACAAATTTTAGGATTGTTCTAGTTCTGTGAAAAATGTTGTTGGTATTTTGATAGGGATTGCATTAAATCTGTAGATTGCTTTGGGTAGTATGGACATTTTAACAATATTTGTTCTTCCAATCTATGAGCATGGAATATCTTGCCATTTGTTTGTGTCTTCTTCAATTTCTTTCATCAGTGTTTTATAGTTTTCAGAGTTTAGATCTTTCACCTATTTGGTTTAAGTTTATTCCTAGGTATTTTATTATTTTTGGTGCAATTGTAAGTGGGATTGTTTTGTTAATTTCTCTTTCTACTACCTCATTATTATTGTATAGGAATGCAGTGGTTTTCTGTATATTGATCTTGTATCATGCGACCTTTCTGAATTCATTTATCAGTTCTAGTAGTTTTTTGTTGGAGTCTTTAGGGTTCTCTATACATAGTATTATGTCATCTGCAAATAATGAAAGTTTTACTTCTTCCTTACCAATTTGGATGCTTTTCACTTCTTTTTCTTGTCTGATTGCCCAGGCTAGCATTTCCAGTACTGTGTTGAATAAAAGTGAGAGTGGACATCCTTGTCTTGTTTCTGATCTCAGGGGAACAGCTCTGTTTTTCACTGTTGAATATGATATTAGCTGTGGGTTTTTCATATGTGGCCTTTATTATGTTGAGGTATTTCCCTCTAAACCTACATTGTTGAGCGTTTTTGTCATGAATGGATATTGCACTTTGTCAAATGCTTTTTCTGCTTCTTTTGAAATGATCATATGATTTTTATCCTTTCTCTTATTGATGTGATGTATCACGTTGATTGATATGCAAATACAAACCACCCTTGTATTCCGGGAATAAATCCCATTTGATCGTGATGAGTTATTTTTTTTAATGTATTGTTGAATTTGGTTTGCCAGTATTTTGTTGTGGATTTTTGCATGAATGTTCATCAGGGATATTGGCCTGAATGTTCATCAAGGATATTGGCATGAATGTTCATCAGGGATATTTTGCATGAATGTTCATCAGGGATATTCATAATGTCTTTATCTGATTTTGATATCAGGGTAATGAGGGCTTCAGAGAATGAATTTTGGAAGCTTTCATTCCTCGTCTGTTCTTTGGGAAAGTTTGAGAATAGGTATTAACTCTTCTTTAAATGTTCAGTAGAATTCACCTGTGAAGCTGTCTGGTCCTGGACTTTTGTTTGTTGGGAGTTTTTTTGATTACTGATTCAATTTTGTTGCTGGTAATTGGTCTGTTCAAATTTTCTATTTTCTTCCTCATTCAGTTTTGGGAGGTTATATGTTTCTAGGAATTTATCTAATTTCTTCTACATTGTCCCGCATGTTGGCATATAATTTTTCATAATATTCTCTGATAATTCTTTTTATTTTTGTGGTGTCAGTTGTTATTTCTCCTCTTTCATTTTTGAGTTTGAGTCCTCTCTTTTTTATTTTTGTTGTGTCTGGCTAGAGGTTTATCAATTGGGTTGATCTTTTCAAAGAACCATCTCCTGATCTGTTGGTTTTTTAATTTTCTATTTCATTTATTTCTGCTCTAATCTTTATTATTTCCTTCTTTCTGCTGGTTTTAGGTTTTGTTTTTTTCCTATCTCCCTTAGGTGTAAAGTTACATTGTTTGCGATTTTTCTTGCTTCTTGAGGTAGGCCTGTATTGCTATAAAGTTCCTCTTAGAATAGCTTTTGGTACATCCCAAAGATTTAGGACCATTGGGTTTTCATTTTCATTTGTCTCCATGTATTTTTTTCTTTCCTCTTTGATTTCTTGGTTGACCCATTCATTGTTTAGTATGTTACTTAACCTCCATGTATTTGTGTTCTTTCCAGACGTTTTTCTTGTGGTTGGTTTCTAGTTTCATAGTGTTGTGGTCAAAAAAGATGCATGGTATGACTTCAGTATTTTTGAATTTGTTGAGACTTATTTTGTGGCCTAAGATGATCTATTTTGGAGAATCATCCATGTGCACTTGAAAAGAATGTATAT